TGCAACAGGTCAAGTTGCGCCCATACTGCCCGAGTGGTTCGACTCATGGGCTGAAGTTCCTCAGTCGTCGGTTTCTTCCACTCTTGTGACAACTGCGCTACCACCGGGCCAATATCAGGGTCTTCTCTTTGTGCTTGTGCCACTGCTGCAGTCGACCATATATCCCTCCCCTCACACTGCTTATGAACCGTTGGCAACCCTGCCACAGCGGCTACCTGGGGTCGGGCTGACGGAACACACGATGGGCACTCTCCATGATGACGCCTTGGTCGCCGTGACAAGGCGTCTGCATTACCATGCTGTCTCCCCGGCCGGTGCTCAATTGTATAGTCGTATTCTTGCAGGCGTTCCAGCCAGCGGGCCACTTGCCCTTGGGGCTCCTTGAAGGACATCAACCAGGTTAACGAGTGGTGGTCAGTTCGTAGGCAGAACCGCCGTCCAAGCAGATAATAACGGAAATGGTCAACATAGGTGACTAAAGCTAACATCTCCAACCGAGTAGTGCAATAATTTCTTTCATGTTCGTTCAAAGAGCGACTCCCGTATGCAATTACTCGTTCTGCCCCATCAGGTTGCAGCTGAGATAAGACTGCCCCGATTCCCAAATGTTGGCTAGCATCTGTGTCCAGTATGAATGACCCTGCACCGGCGTTAAAATCTGGATAGGCTAGGACTGGTGCACTGACTAATCGGTGTTTGAGCTCTTCAAAGGCAGATTGTTGCTCTTGTTGCCAATGAAAGGGCGTGTCCTTCCTACACAGTTTATAGAGTGGCTCCGCAATGATGGAGAATCCGGCAATAAACCGCCGATAATAACTAGCCAGACCGAGGAAGCTGTGAAGCTCTTTGACGTCCAGCGGTGTTGGCCAAGTTTCAACTGCTTTAACTTTCTCCGGATTCGTCCTTATTCCATCACCGGAAACAACATGACCCAGAAAGGTAACTTCTCTCTTCAGGAACTGACACTTGGTTGGCTTTAATTTCAAACCCGCTGCTTGTATTCTGTCAAAGACCAACCGTAGGCGGTGAAGATGTTCTTCAAATGTAGAGCCCCAGATGATAATGTCATCTAAGTACACGAGGCAATGTGTCCAAGTGAGTCCACTGAGTGCCAGATTCATCAATCTGGTGAAGCTTGCTGGCCCATTTGTCAAACCAAATGGCATAACCCTCCATTGAAATTGTCCACGATGAGTTGAAAACGCAGTTTTGGGTTTGTCCTCCTCCTTCACTGGCATCTGCCAATATCCAGGGGCCAAATCAAGGCACGAGAACCACTGAGCACCGCCCAGGGCCTCTAAGATATCATCAGTCCTAGGCAGCGAGATAGCATCTTTTTGTGTGTACTGGTTAAGTCTCCGAAAGTCAATACACATACGGTAAGTTCCATCATGTTTCCGGGCCAACACAACGGGGCTACTCCAGGGACTTTGGGACTGTTCAACCCTACCATTAGCTACGAGCTCATCCAGCTGTTGGTCAATGATTTCTCTTTGGTGAGGGGGAATACGGCGCGGTGGTTGCTTAATTGGTGTACAATCACCCGTATTAATTTCATGTTCCATGAGATCAGATTTCCCTAAATCCGAACTGTTCATAGCAAAAATGTCCTCATACTCTTTCACCAGAGACGAGAATTGTTCCTTTTGACCTTCTGAAAGCCCTTCCAGGTTTTGTTGTTCACAGATTGTCCTCCACTTTTCTCCCTCTCCTTTTGTCTGCTCACTCTTCCCCACTGTGCTGTCAATGGTCGAACAGAATGCATGTGGCCGAGAGTTACTTTTCGATTCTGAGTCAACTCCAATGGGAATTATACTACCATTCACGCTGCTAATAGGGTGATATTCGGCAATAGGAACATCTGACCGTATCTTGATTGGTCTATCCGAGAAGTTGGCAACTCGAACAAGGGCCTGTCCCGCCCTTGGAACCACAAGGGAACGAGCTATGCAAATTTCCGATTTTCCCTTTAGTTCCTTTGAGCCCTCCAAGATCCCAGGGCTTCCCGTATTTTGTTCATATCCCTCTTCCAATCTAGCTCCTAGCACTTGTTCAGTCCCCGGCTCTACTTCTACTTCAGCACACAGATAAAGTCTACAAACACTAGGTGTGACCTTGCAGTATCTAATAGCAATTTCAGCATCTCCTACCACAAAGGTTCCCGTGTCATAGTGAATTTGACATCCATACTGCTGAAAAAAGTCTGAACCAAGAATACAATCATGTGCTAGACCTTGCGCAATCATGACAGGCCAGGAGCAATCCATGTTTCCTATGCGAAATCTCACTTGGGTTTCTCCTAAGACAGTCAGTTCATTGCCATTTGCTGTCGTTAATGTTCCTATCACTGGTTTAAGTTTAGAAACATATCCACTTTTCTTCCATGTGTCCTCGCTCAATACACTAACCGTAGCGCCAGTGTCCAACAATACACAAGTTAAACAATGATTCACAAGTCCAGTAATATAGATCCCGGAATCAGATATGGCTGAAATTACACTGTCATTCGCGGTTGTATTGTAATTTACCTCACGGACATCACTGTCTGACAGGGCCACACGTACTGGTCCTACGGGGACTGTCTGGCCCTTGGCAGGCCCCGAGCTCCGTTTCCCGTTGTATTAGTCGGACAATCACGTGCAAAATGACCCTGTTTACGACAATTGTAACACACTACTTCGTTTCGGCGCCGTGGGGCTGTCACGGTTTTTGCTTCCGTTTTCATTTCCAGCTCACGAATTTTCTCATTCATGCCAAGAACTAATTCCTTGAGCTCGCGTATTTCAGATGAAATCTTCTCACTATCAGCCGAGGCACCAATCACATTAACAGATTTCTTCTTCTCAACCGCAGGAGCTGCGCGACAAGCCTTACGAGCACTTTCCAACTGACGAACCACACGCACAGCTTCCACGAGCGAACTCGGCTGGCTCATAAAAACTCTCTCACGAATGTCATCACTAATTGCTACACCTTGAAGAAACTGGTCCCTTGCCAGTTCCACTTTTAAACGAATAGGCCGCCTCTGGGTACGCATTTTCGACCAATTCCATCAAGCTATCCGCAAATCCATCGAAATCTTCATTTGGCTTTTGGCATCGTGCCCGCAACTGCAATTTGTAATCTTCTTTCGTCTTCCCCGAATCAAATCTTCGAGTCAACTGATCAGTAAATTCTTCGAACGGTAGCGATTCCGAGAGCTTGAGCAGCTCAACAGCTTTGTAGGCCGGTTGGTCCAATAATGTAAGCAAATACGCTCGACGATCCACCGGTTTGATGTGCACGAGACTTGCGTATTGCATGAACTGCGAGAGCCACGTTTTGAAATTTTGGCCCACCGAATAAACGCGTGGAGCTCTTACGTTCCTCCTAACTTCGCTTTGTTCGCTTGACGCCACCATACTCTGCTTTAGAGCTTGAGACAGGGTATTTACGAGCTGCTGCAGGTCACTGCCCCCTTCGTGTGGCTCTACTTTCGGTGGTTTCTTCTTTTGTTGTTGTTTCAGCACGGGTTCTGTCGATTCAAGTTTCGGTAACCCTCCTTCGGCGCCTGCGGACATTTCATCTAGTTTCGGTAACCCGCCTTCGGCTCCTGCTGGAGTTCCATCTTCTTCCATCTTTATATCCCAGTTCGCTGCCACCAATGTAATAAATCAAGGCAAGAGTCGTCGTAATAGTCACGACCGTGTTTACTCAAACTTCACTCTTTTCTGACCACGAGGTCCTAGTCCTAGTTTTACATCATGTAATACGACACGAAATGTCCTCTACTCTACAAAAATATTATTCAGGAATATAATTTCTTTACACTTCAATTTGTCGTTAAGTTTTAAACACAACGATATATGTAACAGCTTTATTCGATGACAAAGCAACCTTCATTGACACAAGTAAGACGCCCATCTTTGAGTGGGAAGTCACAATTCTATTTATCCATCTTTGAGTGGACAAAGTAGTGCTTGTGTCAATGATATTTCAAATGTTGCAACAGTCACCAGCAGATAAACAAGAATATTATTCAGGAATATAATTTCCTTACACTTCAATTTGTTGTTAAGCTTCGAACACAAGGATAACAGTTTCATTCGATGACAAGGCAACCTTCATTAGGGAGCTTACGAATCGACGACTTTCGCACGACGACGCCGTTGGATTGCGTGACATACCTACTGCGCATGCCTGTGTTGGCACTTGCCGGCGTCGAGTAAAAGTCAACGACGTTGGTAAGAGCCATTTGCCGGCGTCTTAAAGAAAGCAGGACGTGAGGTTAGTTTTCAAAGTTTTCTAGCGATAATTCACGTGTTTTTGCCAGAAAAATCAAAGTATTATATTAGTAACATGTTCTTCACGAATGTCTTTGACTTTTTTTGTCTGTTTTCATTCAATTCTACCTTCTACAGCCATGGCAACTCATGAAAGCGCTGGCGAAGGCACGAAAAGGTATGAATGAAAAGTTGAATGCTGTATGGACATCTTTCTTTTTAATCACACTGCACTAAAGTATAAGACATTTTCTGGTGCTCATTAAATTTGAAAGGACCGAAAAGTCGCGTATCTTTTTTTTTTTGAGTTGTCACATCAACAGTAAGAAACAGAGCCGAGTTGGCTAATAGCTGGTAAGTTTACGTACTTCGCTGAACAAAAAAAAATTTCTTACCCTGCCAGCTTTGAAAACAATTTTAAAGTCAATGAAAAGTTTATTTTTACTCCTTTTCTCTTGTTAAGAGGGATCTTATAGCTAGCTTGGTGTTGTAGAAACACGCAAACTTTCCTTGGCTTACAGCTGTGTTTGCTTTTCTGCTCGCTGTGCGAACTGATTTTGTTGTTTTTCATTTTCTATTGTGTTATTTTCTTAAGCTTGTAAGACAATCAACCAGCGAGTGTGATCTCATGGATAAATAGCTAGCGGAGAAACGTTACCTTAACAGTTAGCTTAGTAAGTTAGCGATTTAACTGTTCAGTAAATTATATTTATATATTTTTATAATTTTTTTCACAGAATGCCGAAAATGAAGTGGTCACTTCAACATGACACTATATTTGGTCGCGAACTCCTTAGTTGGGAACTTTGGAAGTACCGTTCAGGCACCAGAGAGCGGGGAAACTGTTTAGACGAAATATGCAAAATTCTGAATAACATCAAAGAGCCCCAATTTTGCGTTTCGCAAAAGGGTTTGAGGGACCGTTTGAAAATCCTGGAAAGGGATTCGAAGGCCAGGAAGAGAGAGGCCGAGAGGGGCTCGGGAATTTCCCCTGAATACCGAGAAATGGATCAAATAATGGAAGACTATATGGAGAGAAGAGAGGAGGAGGAGAAGACCAAGGAATCCCGCACTGATGTGGATCGAAACAAGGCAGATCAAGATAAAGCAGCAGGCGAGGAGATGAGGGAGAGAGCCATGGAGAGGCTAGCTCAGACTAAGAAGAGAAATGGCAAAGATGAACCACGAAAAAAGCGCCAAAAAAGTGGTGACACCCTTGACTATCTAAGGGAGGCAGCGGAGAGGAACTCTCAGTTAAGGCGAGATGAGCTGGACATGAAGAGGAGGCAAGACGAAGCTACAGCTGCTACCCAGCAAGCATTGTTCACTCAGCTGCGGGACCAGCAACAGTTACAAGTGCAGCAACAGCAACAGCAGCAACAGCAGTTTATGCATATGATGCAAATGATGCTGAACAGCCAGCAAGCGCAAACACAAGCAGTCATTGAACTCTTAAAAAAGGGACCGTAGTTATGATCGGAGTAGTTATTGTTCAGTTTTCTTGTAAACACGCAACTTATTTTTTCGTTGTTGTTTTTGGTTTTGTAATATTATAGCATGAACAAGCAACCTTAGCATTCGATGTTGATTTTCATCACTTTATTGCACGTAGATGTTCTGGCACGCGTGTTAACACTACTATTGGCTTTACATGTGTTCTTTTTTGAACTTGAGTTCTATTGCATTTCAAATTAAACCTTCAAGCGACTAGAGTGTTTATGTTGTATAACTGGAGTATTACAAGTGTATCTTAAGCACATTATATCAAATGAAGTATTCCTCTAGAGTTGGCGGATTAACACCAAAATACTCTGACGTAACAGAACCGTATAAAATGTTTCGTGCACTCTGCATTAACGCACATGTTACATACATCTTTCCTACAGCACTCAATCCGATTTTCAGATTCTTTTTAAAATCTAAGAACTTAAAATAATTGACAATATCCCCGAATGTCCACTCTACGGAAGAGCGAACTGTGCTCATTGAGGTGTTAAAATCTTGTTGAGCTGGGGTCAGGACTGCGCCTTTATAGGGCCTTTGTAGGTGTGCACGTATCGGATAGGCGGGGTCACCGTACACGCAGAGGGGAAGGCCAGTTACGGGGCAGTTAGAAAACCTTTGCAGTTCCTGCAAGAATCCGGAGGCAGCTAGCATGAAACTGTCATGGCGTCTTCCCTCAACTGGGCCAAATAGATTCCCCACTAATCCATTAGGCAAAGCGACAGCCTGAAATTTAATGGAGTGGACACGTTTATGGCCATTGTAGATGGATCGCTGGTTTTCGTTAGGCCTACAAACTGGACGTACAGTTCCATCTATGAATCCCCAGCAGTTATCTAGGGCAGCTCCTGCTTGTTGGATAGCATCAGCATACTGGCGAAGCTTGGGAGGGGGTAACAAATCATGATTATACCTTGTAAGCAGATGATGCCAGCGCTCATAAATCAAGTCCATTATGTGGTTATTTATGATAGAAATCTCAGGAACCGGTCTGGCAAAATGGTAAACCAAATCTCCGTATCGGCAAGGGTAGGCATAGCGCTTAAGATACATGCATAATGCAGGTACCGAAGGTACTACTAAACCATTGTAAGTGGTTATCTCGTCAGGTAACTGCAGCTGTTCCGCAAGTTTATAAATGTCATCTCTGTAGAAACGAAACTCAACCTTGCATTAGTCGTTTGTTTTCTCGTCCAAATCGAACCTTTCGTAGTTCCAATACGGAAACTCTGGGTTTTTTGACTTATGAGCATCGTATAAAAGTACAAATTCTTGTTCTTTTAAAAAGTTGTTTCGATAAGCGTAAGCAATACAAGCTCTTGTTTCTCTGAAGTTAGGCATTTTGCTTTGAACAACCCGGCTTATGATCATGAAGTGATAAAAAACAAACTTCAGAAACGGCGGGAAAATTTGCAGCAAGCGTACCAACGTCGTCGTCTTTACTTAAAATCGTAAATTCAAATTTCTAGATGACGGCGACGCAGGACTATGACGTGGCCCAACGGCGTCGTCGTGCGAAAGTCGTCAATTCGTAAGCTCCCTATTGACACAAGTAAGACGCCCATCTCTGAGTGGGAAGTCGCTAATCTATTTATCCATCTTTGAGTGGACAAAGTAGTGCTTGTGTCAATGATATTTCAAATGTTGCAACAGTCACCAGGAGATAAACAAGAATATTATTCAGGAATATAATTTCCTTACACTTCAATTTTTCATTAAGCTTCGAACACAAGGATATATGTAACAGCTTTATTCGATGACAAAGCAACCTTCATTGACACAAGTAAGACGCCCATCTTTGAGTGGGAAGTCGCAATTCTATTTATCCATCTTTGAGTGGACAAAGTAGTGCTTGTGTCAATGATATTTCAAATGTTGCAACAGTCACCAGCAGATAAACAAGAATATTATTCAGGAATATAATTTCCTTACACTTCAATTTGTTGTTAAGCTTCGAACACAAGGATAACAGCTTTATTCGATGACAAGGCAACCTTCATTGACACAAGTAAGACGCCCATCTTTGAGTGGGAAGTCGCAATTCTATTTATCCATCTTTGAGTGGACAAAGTAGTGCTTGTGTCAATGATATTTCAAATGTTGCAACAGTCACCAGCAGATAAACAAGAATATTATTCAGGAATATAATTTCCTTACACTTCAATTTGTTGTTAAGCTTCGAACACAAGGATAACAGCTTTATTCGATGACAAGGCAACCTTCATTGACACAAGTAAGACGCCCATCTTTGAGTGGGAAGTCGCTAATCTATTTATCCATCTTTGAGTGGACAAAGTAGTGCTTGTGTCAATGATATTTCAAATGTTGCAACAGTCACCAGGAGATAAACAAAATATTATTCAGGAATATAATTTCTTTACACTTCAATTTGTCGTTAAGTTTTGAACACAAGGATATATGTAACAGCTTTATTCGATGACAAAGCAACCTTCATTGACACAAGTAAGACGCCCATCTTTGAGTGGGAAGTCACAATTCTATTTATCCATCTTTGAGTGGACAAAGTAGTGCTTGTGTCAATGATATTTCAAATGTTGCAACAGTCACCAGGAGATAAACAAGAATATTATTCAGGAATATAATTTCCTTACACTTCAATTTGTTGTTAAGCTTCGAACACAAGGATAACAGCTTTATTCGATGACAAGGCAACCTTCATTGACACAAGTAAGACGCCCATCTTTGAGTGGGAAGTCGCAATTCTATTTATCCATCTTTGAGTGGACAAAGTAGTGCTTGTGTCAATGATATTTCAAATGTTGCAACAGTCACCAGGAGATAAACAAGAATATTATTCAGGAATATAATTTCCTTACACTTCAATTTGTCATTAAGCTTCGAACACAAGGATATATGTAACAGCTTTATTCGATGACAAAGCAGCCTTCATTGACTCAAGTAAGATGCCCATCTTTGAGTGGGAAGTTGCAATTCTATTTATCCTTCTTTGAGTGGACAAAATGGTGCTTGAGTCAATGATACTTTCAATTTTTGAAAATGCCACAAGGAGATCAACTAGACGATTATATAGTGTTTTTATATTGTTACACTTTAATTTTGTATTGTGCGTCAAGCACTTGGATAAGGGCTTTATTCGATGACAAAAGCAACCTTCATTTTTTAAATATTTTTCTTTGTAATGCACTACCAGAAAACTGCCTCGTTTTAAGCTCTCTAGTTTTTTTAGAACCAGGCTTTTACAATAATATACATATACATGTAATACATGTATTAGTATTTTGATATAAATATTTGACATTTTCTTTTGGTCTTTATTTCTTTGAGGTATAATGATGCAGAGAACAAAAACATTGAGGGTATTTTGGTTAATGAAGTGAGGGGAAATTTTGGGTAAAAGAAATGGCCCAAAACAGAGAAAAAAGGTAAGTTGTACACTTTTCTAAGTTTCTTGAATTTGGTAGAGTGAAACCCCGCATTACGGCTAGCTCGGTAATACAGACATCTCGTTATTACAGCCACTTTTTTTTGGCGGCCTGGCAAAAACCACCATACATTTTCTTGTAAAAAAACCCTCATTAATACCGCCACCCCATTAATATGGCAAAAATTTTTTGGCCCATTAATGACCGTATTAACGGCGTTCCACTGTAGTTTCTTGGTGTTGCCGACAAGTGCAATCCCCTAATGACATAAATACAAAAGATTGAAAAGCCACTAAATAATACCCACACCAAAAGCAGGAGCAAACCAACAATACTTTTAGCAACACCAAGAAGCACTCTTAATTCCTTTCCAAGAGACCTGCACATTTAAAATGCTTTCCTTTTGCTAGGGGCCATTTTTAAGTACTGGAGTCAGAGAAGTAGCCCCCCAGATGTGGTTAGGTGGCAAAATGGAAAACCTGAAGAACACAGAGGTTGGACAAGATGCCAATTTGAGAGAGTAATCCACTTAGTGATTTATTTAGCCTGTCCTGTAACAGAGCTGTGCTTTGGCAGTGCCTGGTGGCCCCTGTTGCATTACTGTTGCTCTTGGGTTACAAGGAAGTCTTAGTTTGTTCAAACACATTTATCCTGGGTACCTGGATCTTTCAGGTTAAGGGCACAAGGGTCTTTCATTTTTTAAGGACACAACATATGTTTTGCATGTTTGTCTTATGCATACATAATTTATGATTGTTATAGAATGCACGAGTGCCACACCCTACCCCCTTTGACATTTTAAATGTTAACAGTGTCCTTCCCATTTATATGCCAGGTTTCATTGTAGTGTAAATTGCTCAGAGTAGAGAGCAAGAACCAAATCTAAAGATTCAAAATAGTCAGGGTGACTATTTTGCCAGACTAAACTGTTGCTGAAGAACAAAGTAAATGTTAATTAAATGTTTATCACAGTAGTCATGCCACTGTGACTAAATATGTTTTTTTGGTGTTCAGAAATTGACGAATCGCACAGACGTGTTGGACAAGGCACACCTTTCTCCGGATGACAAAGCCAAAACAAAGGCCTTATTAGACCTACACAATGCTATCCAGGAGAGTGAAGACAATGAAGAGGGGGGCAGTGATCCACCACCCAGGTACATCAGGCCACTATGCTCAGAGAGGTCAAAGTTAAGAAAACATCAATGCTGTTCTTGACGCCTTTTGTGAAGCTCGCATGTCAAAGAGGCAAAGAAAGAGCAGCTGGGAAAATAACCAGAGAGGTTGATAAATACTTGTCAGACAGACCAGTACCAAATAACTGCCCCTCATGGGCAGGATGCCAATAATACCAAATTAGTAAAATGGCTACAGTGATCACTACTATGGCAACTGGGAGTATAAAGTCCAAAAATGACGCCGTGCGCATGATGTCCAGAAAATGAGCCTTAGCCGAAGCACAAAATTTGATGGCATAGTCGATTCTACATGAGTATACAATTCTACTTCCCCCTTATTTTTCACTGGTTTAAAACCTATCATACTGTTTTTCTCTTAATGAAGAAAGTATTTAACACTTTCTTCATTAAGAGAAAAACTTAAGTTCACTGGGCAGTAATTCAGTCTTCCCTGCGTTTTACTAACAACGTAACCAAATGAACGAGAAGCCCTGTAGTGACTTCTGGGTGCCACTTGCATAAAGTTGAAATTTGACGGGCAACAGTGACATACTCTCTTCAGGACTCTGATCCACCATAGTAGAGGTCACTGTGGCAATTTGCTTAAAGTCCCTAAAGTATTATTGTGCCTTCTTTAGTCAGGATGACCCTGTGATGATCAGCTTTAACTAAATTGCACAATCTTATTGGAAAGGTGATTAGAGTTTTATTCTTAAAGACAATCTTTACTCGACTGTGTTCATTAAAATTGCTGAAATTCCAGGACAGCAATGGATTATCCTAAAACTATAAAACAGGGAATGTAAGATAGATGCATTGTGAAAGTGAGTCACTTGTTAAAAGTGCACAGTTTGTCATTATTATTCAAACTCAAATGTATTCTCGTAGACTACTTTGTATGCCACAGCCAGGTCCAAGTTGCAGCCATGCAGTTACAGCAGAGTGGCGACAAAAAGTGAGATACACGTGTAGAGATGTTGGCTTACACATTTGTATATAAAGCCTATGGCTAGTTTTGTTTGCATCACTATCGTCTTTGTAGCATCGGTCTGATACTCCCCAATGATGGCATCTCAGCACTTTGTATAGGCTTTAACAATAATTTTTGGGGATTGGGGATGATCCACCAAGTACTGGTACTTGCTATGGTATGATATGCTATAAGAATTAAGGCAGCAGTTTAGATTTCCTAATGAGATTTTATGCAGTCTTACATGTAACTAAGTAAAACTTTTATTTGTAATATTGTTCTTATTAAATTATGTAATAGTTTTGCTGTGAACTACTTCTTGGAGTTATTTTTGGAATGGAAATGCACGTTACTTATAATAATGTTAGTTAATTAATTATTACACAGTTAAACCTCTTTAATACGGACACCAAAGGGACAGAACCTTTACAGAGGTGTCCGTATTATAGAGGTAGGGAATGTATGATTTTTGGCATTTCTGGGACCAAACAAACTATCTGTCTTATACAAGTGTCCATAAGAAGAGGTTAGACTGTATAATTATTATGTTAATTTAATCATTTCAAGGAAAAAAATTTGAATTTTGTCAATTCTAAAAGGACTATTTAATAGGCCATTTCCGAGTTCCCCCGGGCCTCTGTTTCAAAACGAGGGTAGGTGCTCAGCTCTTGATATTTAAATCATTTTTCATTTTCATGCAAATAAAACTCATTTTCACAAGAAAGGTTGCGCACCTAGCCTCATTTTGAAAGTGAGGGTTTTTGGAACTCGGAAGTGGCCTATTGAAATGGAAAAGTTACAGTTTTGGATATAGAAAATAGAAATACATTGTAAGGAGTCTCTTTCTTATTGTGAAAATATTTAATATACATATGTACATATTATATGAAAATGGAGAGAATTATTTTAGTAAAAACTTTAATACCAAAAATGCTCCTAAATATGACTCTTCTTGATTTGTGTGTATCAGCGAAAATGGGTCATTGTGGATGCAAGAAACGGTCCAGGGTCGTCTCACAAACGTCCACTTTTTTATATATCGGATAGAATGAACATATGATTCGAAACTAAATGGTTAAGTAAAGTTAACACATTTAGCAAATCCAGTGAATAATCCACCGAAAGTGGAATCTGGGGAAACATGAAGGTTGCAGAAAGTAAACCGATCAAACTGAGTTTCCGCATTCATTGTTCCGGGAACTCAACGGATAATTGAGTATCCTCTGAATTTACGAGCTGCGGAAACATGACGGCAGTTAGCGTTTCCGCACGAGTAAACCTGACGGAAACGCGAGTATAAGGGATGCGTTTAAGCGTGTCCGCAGAAACTGAAACATGACGGATACAAGTGTTCCCCGCAACGGTTAGTTACAATTCCGTCTGCGGATATTCAAGTTTCCGTGAGGTAACCGTTACAAAAACGGAAACGGAAACACCTTTTTTCAACCTGTAAAGATTTGTGAGTCAAGATAACGTAATGCCTCAAAGACTAGCCTTCTGCAACTGTACACAAAGACCCGACGAATCCAGCACAGATTTTAAAGCCGTTTGTAGCACCGCCGAAAAGCCTAAATATACGGTGATAACAGATCCACTTTTGGAACTTATTCACTTATTCATACGCATTCACTGGCATCTGTAACAAGGACGTGAAAGAACTGAAATTCTTCAATATTACAAAGAGAACGAAAAAAACCTACCCGAACAAAGTACTAAGAGGCTCTCCTCAACACCAGTAAAGCCATTGTGCACTTTGTCAACCCAAAGGTAAAACAGCAGGTAAATCACTTGACACACAAGCCCCCAAGACCCTTTCGAACACAATGCCCACCGACTATTGCAGCAACATGATGACGGCACCATAGAGGGCCCTCCCTCATGGCACACCTTAACTGTACTTCTGATGAGATCTAAGCCAAACATTCATCATAATTTCCCGTCACCCAATTCATACTGTTCTGGAGATACTCCTTGCACTATACAGGAAGAAACACGGGACTTTCTCCGTCTTTGCCACCTTAGGTGACTTCACCCAGATTATATAGTTTTAATTCAGGGCGAGACAACGGAAGAATTGGAAAGAAACCATGATTTGAATCTCCTTGGGCTGAATAACGCGTGCTCGGGAATTCAAGGTCAGATCTAGCTGAATTTTCGAAAGATAATCTTTATGGGGCACTTGATCACTGAGCATCGAGTGAAACCGGACTCAGACAGGGCCAATGAAATAACTAATATAACAACATGCCAATCTGAACCGACGAGCAAAGCATAATGCTATTTTGTGGCATGTAAGCTACTTAAGAACTTGTCTTCGTGAGAACCGACCAGTGATTTCGGATCCAAAAATTAATTTTCGTTATATTCTGGGATATTAAAGTCTTTACTTATTTAGTTACAAAAATGCATTTTTGTTTGACCGAAAATGCGAAATATAATTTTTTACGAATTTTTGAATTTTCGGCCGGTTGGCACCGGCGCCTTACCCTTTCAAACTGCAAAAATCGCCTACGTTGCCGTCGCTACAGAAAAACAAACACCTCGCTCAAGAAGTCCGGTTTTCTTTTTAATATACTAATACACCACTCTAGATTTCCTAGCCATATCACAGTTTCGAATGATTTATTCATTTTAACGGCAAGAATCTTTTTTCCTGACACGTGTTATCGGTCCTCCATCAAAACACGAAAATAGCTCAACTTTGAGGGCAGTTTTAAAACGTGTGGCACCTGTCTGAACTTTGCTATCTGTATTATTCTAAACTAGAAATGATAATAAAACATAAAAAAGAAAAAGATTTTTGTGCTCTTTGCGTTTTCGAACTTGATCGCCGTTTGAATTTCCAGAAATTTCGAAGACCTGATAATTAACGAACACTTTCCTTGTCGATCTGCTCGTGAAAGTCCAACTTTACTTGATGGCTTGATGGATCTCACCTGAGTTCTTCCTCATTTTAAGGTTATTTCTTAATCATCTGAAACTATATTGGCCGCTTCGACACTTTTTTGCGTTACCTGTGTACAGTGACGTTCTGTGGAGCAGAAATCTTTGAAATTTATGGACCAAAAAACGCTCGTTAAGCGTTGATGCCGCGGAGTTAAAAGGGGCTTGTAACTGTGTATTTATAAACAGACACAAGTTTGTAATTCACTAATCTTTGACTGGAAAAGATTTGCCAGATACAAATCTCTTTGGGGGAATAAACCTTAGTCCACAAACAAGCAAGTTTCCCTATGCAAACCAGTAAATTAACACCTAGCTTATCACTAGCAGAACGCGTACGATGGTCGATTACCGAAATTCGCTCAAAATTAATTTCTGTGCTGGCGTATTACCTGCTCACAGATGTCCTTCTATAAAGTTTCTTTTGAAGTATGGTCCTAACAGTTAAAAAAATGATTAGAACACGCTATCATGAATTGGTCGAAGCTTTTTAAATGTCAAGGTTTACTTTCCGGCTAATAAAATGAACTGTAAGTAAAAAGTGCAAGAGAAATAGCGAAAAATTACCCCTTCTAATCAAATCTTTTCTTGCGGTAAATATTAAAGAAACTGAGAATGTTTTGATCAAAGCTATGTAAATCGACCTGAATCAGTGCATGGATCTTGCGTTTCCTGTTTTTATGTCACATATTGTTATGGATCTTCGTGAAAATCTTTAATATGAATCGGGATATTTCAAAGAGCTACGCCTGACAAAGACTAAGAATACAATTGACTGACAATATACAGAGCGGGACCGGGACAGCTGTAGCGTCAACTATTAATAGTTACATTATTTGTTTTGTCTTATTTTAGGATTCAAAATAAGGGAAAGAGGGAGAAGTTAAGGCACTTATAGCAACGTGGTTTGTGTGATAAAACTTTTTGTGAGGATATCCAAGATGGTGATATTATTGACTAACTCACTCTCGTGATACAAAATAAACTGTCGTGATAAAAACGAACTACATCAAAAACATTGAAGGCATCGACGTTTCGTTTATTGAGCTATTTTGAAAAAATAGCCCATATGTCAGTAGTGTGAGCGTATTCTATCTTTGTGGCTTTGTATGTTGGGATGTTTGTTG